GTGATTTTCCTTTGAAGTTCTACGTTTGGCTGTACCATTACGTGACAAAACGGAAAGAGTGCCTCAAGAGGGGAATAGTTCCGGGGCTACCAGCGGATACCTTCTCCAGGACGGTATTGTGTCACCTAGCCCAGGCCACTGTGTAAGTGGCATATTCAACACACATACATTCACTACACCTCCATCAGCTGGGCAGATCCTGGTGAACCGTCTCCGCTCCAGAAGCAGGTAAGTGCCTTTCCCTTACCGGTCTTTCCCCCTTATTGTTTGTTTTAATTAGAGACCATCCACTTTGGCATTAAAGGCCCACCTGCATCTGCCTGTAGGTTCTTCCTACCATGGGCCCGGGAGGATCCTACTATTAGATAGGCAGCTGCACGCCGTAACAATATGAAAGTAGCAAATTTTGAAAAAAGTTAAAAATGTGCAAAAAATTAAAGAGCAAACCGCTGAGGAATGTTTTCTGAATTAATATAATGCTCTAGAAACTGATAAACTTTTATTAAAAACTAACTTCTCAATTACATCACACTGTGTAACAAAAATCTTCACCTCAGTGTCAACTAGCGACATCTGGTGAGCAGAAAATTATTAGCCCTAATTTTGTCCACCTGAACAGATAAGTTGGTGGCACTATACAGGGTTATTTTTCAAAGTCTAGCCAAAAATAATTAAGTTCAAAATATAAATACTGATATGCACTTTTTGCAGATTTTAAAAATCCGCTTAAATAAAGTTTCTACATTTATTTGAATATATCCAAAATCGAATGTGATTTATAGGCAACAACTACAGCATAAGCGTGTTCGTCTGTGTACGAGTCAATATACGGAGCTTTTGTCTACTACTTACGACACACTCGCTACTCAGTTGACAACTATGCGAACGTGACGCGAATTATGATTTCAATTTCACCTTCATACTTTGAACGGGCTTAGAACCGTCATAATTAATATAATAAAAAAAAATCGACGTGTGGGATGGATGATAAGCAAATAAAAAGTTCTGCACTCTTAGAATTAAATATATCTTTTTACTACCATACAAAAGACAGCTCTAAATACAAGTTAAGACTACTTCTAGAAAAGAAATGGAGAATAAATGTAAACAATTACTTGTAGAAAAGATAGTCAAGCTAGAAAGACACGAACATCGCGTCGGTGCGTACGCCGTTAAAAAAACATATTCAAAACTGACAGAAATTGCATGATGCATGTTGCCACAGACGTAACCAATGAATGTCTTTATTATGTCGTATTTAAAAAATTGAAATCAAGTATTTACAACGATTAACAATTTAAAACGATTAACTATTTACAACATCGAACTATTTACAACGTAAATATGCATAACTTGAAGTAACAATAACAATTCACAATAATGTTTTTGAGGTGGACCATCGTTATTATTCAGTGCTTGCACTCGTTGGTATTGAAATGGGTGATATCCAGAAGAATCCAGTAGTTACCACACGTACTACTGGCTAACAAGGAACTCGTGCTGCATCATTGGTGCTAACGCGGGGATTACCTCGTATGTCGGTTACTCTGGTTCTACTTCGGATATCCTAATTTCTATGTTTATCACGCAGAGAAACCTCGAGCATAGCCCTCTCCATAGCTCGCTGAGCAACCTTGAGCTTCCTCGTACGGCCAACAGTGAAGAACCACGTCTCAAATCCGTAAGTCATCACTGGCAACACGCACTCAATTTCGTTTTCAGTTTTTGAGGTATGTCTAACGAGAAGATGTGTCGTAGTTTCCCGAACGTTGCCCAGCCGAGTTGACTCCGTCGATTGACTGAAGGGACTGCAGCACCACCCAAATTTCGACGGAATCAAAGGCTTTCTCATAGTCCACATACGCAAGGCAAAGTGTCAGTTTATACTCCTCTGTCTTCTGTACAATCTGCCGAAGTGTGTGTATGCGGTCTATGGTACTAAAGCCTTTTCGGAAACCGGCTTGTTCAGGAGGATGGAAGTCTTCAAGTCTGCGCGCGAGACGGTTCGTAATGATTCTCGAAAATAAATCCACTCCCACAAAATACGCTATGTGACGCATCAACATATTGTAAAGCAACATACTATAAAATATTATTATGATTTTACCGATAGACATAGTGAGAATGGACTGAGCGTTAGCCTCACAAAAGTAACCATTCTGTAAAAAGTGACTGTGCGACCAATACCTGTCTCTTTCCTGCAAGCTGAAGGCCGAAGGCTTACAGTTGTACATGCAGTACAGAACGATACACTCCTGACCGCCAGTGACGTGGACCAATCAGAATTCTAAAAAGTGACAACTACTGGCCACATATTCGCTTTGTCTCTCTCGCACTTTTCGGTCTCTATTTACTGCACAACTGAATACGGAACGCACAGTCCATTCGCTTCTTATTAGTTTTTGGTCCATTCTCCCCGTATACTTAGAATATACTGTCGTATAGACGACCAGACAGCTAGAAAACGCGTGACAAATTTTGATTAGTGAATGTATGCGTTAGCTAGTGTACATTTTACTTACAAGGACTATCGAAACACGATTTTTAAGAAAGCGGTAAAAATATTAAAAAATAGTTTATTGAATGAAACTGAAATTTTCTCTATGCCTTAGCTCAAAAACTAATAAGAAGTGTTAGGGCAGTCTATGCACATGAGTAAATAAACAGAACAGAGGTAAAGCTTCATACAACCGGGTGAATCACTTGCACTAATACAAGAACGCTGGGCATGTTTGCGATACCACTGACCGCTTGTCGCGTACGCGGCGAGATTAGAAAAACCGGTTACCCTGGCACAGCCAGTTTACAACAATCTCAGGGTCAGTGCGACGCACGTTTGTTTTGTTATAAGGTGTTCTGCCCGGGGAGCGGCCAACGCTCCAAGTGGTAGTTCGGAGCTATTCTACATATACTGCTTTAACTTCGGAACTTTGTTAGCGCGATTTAGGCTTCGATGTGTTTCGCTTGGGGCGTGACGACAGCGCCGCCACATCACCCCCCTGCTCAGACCGTAGGTCGATAGTGCAGTCCGATTGCCGGTGCGTCCTTAATGCCGGTGGGGAATGCATGCTGTGTGCGTAAGGGCAAATGACGCCGGTGTGAACGATATGCCGGTGTGTAATGCATGCCGTACTACGCATTTGCAAGTGACGCCCGGTGAGAACGATGAGCCGGAGCAAGTGCCAGGGATTGCCTTGTAGTCTGCGGTGAGTCGAGAAGAAGGCAAGTAATCTGCGAGAGTGCCGTGAAGCAGAGGCGAGCAGTAAGGCTCAGAGCCGTGTCGAACACTGTAGCGCAGAGAGTAGCTTGAAGGAACAGGAAGAATTATTATTCCAGTGCTGCGATGAACCTTTGTTAAGCTAGATGGCTTGCAGAATGTGAAGACTGCAGAGAATAACTGCTCGGGAGTGAATGAATGGGGTACTTGAGGATGATGACGAAGGTTTTGAAGTTGTAGTTTCCGAAGGTTATTCGTTGCGTGTTCATATCACGTCGGGGTCATCACTGTGGCGGATGGAAGGAAAAGGGGAGATCTCCCGCCGGGCAAGGTGTTCTGCCCGGGGAGTGGCCAACACTCCAGTGGTAGTTCGAAGCTATTCTATATATACTGCTTTAACTTCGGAACTTTGTTAGCGTGATTTAGGCTTCGATGTGTTTCGCTTGTGGCGTGACGACAGCGCTGCCACAATCCCAATATGTTGTTAATTTTGTTTCTATTTTAGTTATATTATTTTTCGGCGTCGATTAGTATAAAATGACTTTAAACAAAAAGGTTTGTAAATTGATTATTTCAAATGTCAATAAAAATTAAAATGTTGATACATCATACTGTAAACAATTGTTTATTTTAGTTTTATTACCCACCAATAAATTATATTTTTCATTGCTTTAGTTTCATAACGAAATAGTTAGCCTCTAGTATCAATTATAAAAAACAAAACCTAATAGTAGTTAAACAACGTGTTAAGTTTACGTAGTTATTAGAAACCTGTTGCAGAAAAAAACCTATTGTCGCAATAGCTTTTTTAAAAGAAATGTAATTTTTTTTTTACCACCCTAAGTGTACCCATGAAACACCACCTGTGGGACTGGCATTGGCATTGCGTGAAAGCAACGGTAACGCCCATCTCTACTTAAGAAGCTTTGTTTCTGTTCCATTTATTTACTCATGTGGACTATGCTTGATACTGAGGTAAATGAAGTCATGGCTTAAAAGATAAGTATCCAAGTCCAATATCTTAATTATAAGTACGACAGGAACATAGATAGTTTATTCTTTCTATACGCGACAGGAATAATAGCTTAAAGAACAAACATCCAAGCCACAAATCTTAATAAAAATGACGGAATGACGTCAATTGCAGCGTTGCCAACATGTAGGGAATTTCGCAAATAGCGGGGAATTAAAAGTTGGTTGGGGATTGGTATTATGCGGCGAAAATGCGGAGATTTTGAAAATCGATAGTCCAAGTCAAGTCAGAACCTTTTTTCAAGAAATGTAAATACTTATCTTAACATTTTCGCTAGGTTACTTATGAATATCGAGTGATTCCCTTTTTTTAATTATCTTTATTGGACCACATTCAATTTTTGGATTTATTTCCGCAACTTTTGTGTATCATTTAATGTTTTATATTTCTTTTTTTTCTAATTTTAAAGCAGAGATCCGCATGCATATAAATGCAGATATTGTGGTAAAAAAACAAGGAAGGAAAAAAATACTCCATGGAGTAAAATGCTTGTTACAAAAATATGGAGTGTGAAAAAAAATCAGTGAAAAAAGAGAAAAATTGTTAGTTAAAAATAAATCTTATAAAATTAGTACAAAATTGTTTCATTTCTTAAAATCAAATCGAGGGAAATTTGTGCGGCATCTGTAACAGATTTAGAATTTAAAAACAAAACTTCAACAGATGATCTGTTGAAGTTTTGTTTTTAAATTGGGAAATTTGACATGGATTTTCGGGGAATTTGATAAGTTTTCGTTGACAACGCTTGTAAATCGTAAAATGTAAATATTTAGTTTAGTCAAAGCTCAAAGTTAAAAATTAAATACCTATGAAATAATTAAAAGCAAGATATAAGTTAATCTAAAACCTTATCAATTAATTAATGTTAAAATTTAGCAAACTTTTGTATTAAGTTATTCTTAACATTTCTATTGAATGGGATGTTTTAATATAAACGAGAAAAACTTGTTATTAAAAGTTTAAATAATTCACATTATTTTATCTATTTAATTTTCTAATATTATGACACTTAATCTCGAAAAATGCCGTCTCTGCCTTAAACTTGGCAATTTCTATTCCATCTTTACCAAAGATAATAATCTGCAACTTGCTGAAATGGTGATGGAATGTGCTCAAGTTCAGGTAATATTAAAATGGAAAGGCAGTACGATTGTGTTACTGTGGTGGCAATCATTTGCTGCAACTTTGGCAACTATTTATTGTTTTTTTTTTACTATGATAATATTTTGTAACCTAAAATAAGTTAATAATATATAAAATACATCAGTTTATTATCAATACTGATTTACTTAAAACAATTAAAACCTAAGTCGAACATCAAAATGAAACCAACTACAATTCCCACCAGAGTTACACAATTGCGCTACTCTTGTTCATAAATATATTTTGCTCAAATTTACTTTGAATAGTATAATTTGTAATGAAAATAATAATCAAGCAAAGGTTGAGTTGAATTAAAGTGGCAGAGTTGTACCAGCCTGACTTGTATAGTAATGGAAAAAGATAAAGTTATTGCCAATTAATTAATTAATTAAATTAAATTAAATTTAATTTCTTGCTTGGATCTCATTAGGTTTTGGCAGTAGAGATCTGAATCAATAGTTATGCCCGAAGGTAAAAGCTCATAATATTAACAATGCCCTTACAATCCCACCATATACTCAGCATCACCTTAATGTGTGTTAATCATGGTTTCGCTACAGTCTGTGCAGTTTGACTACCCTTTGACCACAATCTTTTTCACACGTTCTTGTCATAGGGGATCCACTTTTCATCACCAGTGATCAATCTTTTCAAAAATGGTTTGGTTTCATTGCATTTCAATAGAGAATCACCAATTAATATAGGATTCATTAGGTTTCTTTCAGTGAGCTCGTGTTGTACCCAAATATCGAGCTTTTTTGTATAGCTAGACTTACAAATGGGTCAAAACTGTTTTATGGTCAATCTATGATCCTTGCTTATTTCGTAACTACTAATATGCCGATCTTGCTCCACTTTTTCGAAAGTGGCATAGACTTTAGCCGTATGAGATAGAATATATGAGGCTCTAACAAAGTAGACGCATAAGTTATATCTCCACAGAAAAATAATAGTTTAAGTGAATAATACTGCGAAGTTAGTGGTGGAAGTTATATTAGTCAGTGCGTGAAACAAACACCTTTTAAATAGCATAATTCATTGTGTGTATTAATTCAACTTTAAGGAAGAAAGTAAACAAAAAGTGCCGATTAACACTAGTGTTCACAGAAATCATTGAGGGTAAATTGCTACCGTGAGTGTCTGTGTAGTATTGTTAAGAAACAAAAAGACCTGCATTTTTATTGATTAATTTGACTGTGTTCAACAACCAGTGGCTTATTTAACATAAATCTAGCGGTTTGAACGTTGCGCATTACCGCGACACTGTTATTTACTCTATCGGCACAAGTTCAAACCTTCAATCATTATCATAGATGAAGATTTATTTTACTTTCGAACTTTTTTTTTTGTTTGTTTCTTAAATTGTTTATACGTCATTTTACGGCGGTGCAACTTAAAAACTAATCAAGAACCTATCGTATAAAAAGTTGAAATATTTTAGTACCCCAGCCGTTCTAAACCCACAACGCCTACAAGTTTTTTAAAGTCAATCTTACATAGTGTCAATTGAAATATTAGAAGTGGTAGGAGTACTAATAAATTATACTTTATAATAATGTCCAGTAAAAATAATGAATGGGGATGTTGCGGAGGGTCTAATAAAGAGGACAATGGGTACATTCTATGTAATACATGTCGCAAGACATTTCACTTGGCTTGTTTGACTTCATCAACTGTTAACCCTCAAAATCTGATTGAACCATCCTGGAATTGTCCAACATGCACTACCCCCCAGCCAAAAAACCCTAACAACGATGAGACTCCGGTGCGTTTCAATCCAAATATAACAATCCGCGCCACAAAAAGGCAGGCGTTACAATCCCCCCCTGACAACGCATCAGAATATACATTTAAAGAAGATATGCGTAGCGTTGTTCAGGAAGTGGTTCGCAAGGAAATAGATGGATTGAATACTAATCTTAGCAACTCCCTTCAATTATTCAGTACTGAATTGAGAGCCGTTATGAATGAAATGAAGGATATTAAAGACTCAATGAACTTCATGAACAGCAAATTTGAGGAAGTCCTTAAAGAGCAAGCCGAAGTTAAAATAACTCTGTCGGATCTAAAGGTAGAAAACTTGACTCTTAAAAACACAGTAAAAGACTTATGCACACGACTTAACATGCTGGAACAAAATGCACGCTCAAACAATGTGGAAATCCAATGCATCCCGGAGAAGAAAAATGAAAATATTGTTGAGATTATAACCAACATTGGCAAAGTCATTAACTGTAATATTTCCAGGGACAATATTTCCCATTGTACTCGCATAGCTAAACTAAATCCTGGAAGCACAAGACCCAGATCGATCGTTGCTCAATTCAACACCATTCAATCCAGAAATTTGTTCATGGCCGCAGCTATAAACTTTAACAAACCGAAACCTGTTCACGATAAACTCAACAGCTCTCATCTTGGATACGAAGAATCGAAAACACCTATATTCATTACTGATCATCTATCACCGACAAACAGAGCCCTGCACGTTGCCGCCAGATCCGCTGCAAAAGAAAAGGGATATAAATACGTTTGGATTAAAAATGGCCGTATTTACATGAGGAAAAGCGACAAGGCGAACTGCATAATTATAAAGGATATGGACACTATTCACAAACTTAAATAAATACTTGTTTGTATTGATAGTATAAAAGTCCTGGCCAAAAGCTATAAAATTCTCAGCTCTTAATATATATTACCAAAACATACGTGGTCTCCGAACCAAAACTCATTTATTTTATTGTAACTTGTTAGCTAGTAATTATGATATTATTATTTTAACAGAAACTTGGCTTAATAAAAACATCCTTAGTTCTGAAATATTCGACAACAGATACGTAGTATACAGGAGAGATAGAGAGGACTTTACATTTAATTCGCATAAAGATGGGGGAGGAGTCTTAATTGCCATTAATAAAAATATTCACTCCAAAAGGCTTCATCACTATGATAGCAAATGCGAAGACCTGTAGCAGTAGACTCATCCTCATCTACCTACTAGATTGTTTTTTGTGCCGTGTATCTCCCACCACCAATTCATATTTCGCTACTTAATCATTTTATCGATAATTTTAATAAAGTAAAAGAGCAACTTAACACACAAATTTGCCTCATCGGAGATTTTAATTTGAGCAACTCAAACTGGAGCAGTGTATACAACTCAGAAAATTTACAGACTTCTCCCATATATCAAAGCTTTATTGATTTTTCTATGGTAAACAGCCTAAAACAATGCAATTTTATTAATAATTCTATGGGTAGAACCCTTGATTTAGTCTTAATAGACACAATTTCATGCACTGTTTCTCGAGCAACAGACATATTATGTACCGAGGACCCGTTACATCCACCACTCATAGTTGAAATTACTTTTTCTAGTAGTCCAACTCTGCCATACAATCTTGACACACGTAGGCTAAATTTTCATCTAGTTGACTATGACAAAGTTAACAAATATTTAGCCAAGATCGATTGGGATGAACTTTTCACAGGTGTCAAAGACATCGATCAGATGGTAGACATTTTTTATAATAATATCAAAGAAGTAATTATAAAGAATGTACCTGTTACTAGAGTAAAGAATAAAAGATATCCATTATGGTTCTCCAAGGACCTAATTAATCGCCTACGGGAAAAAAAATAAGTACAGACTAAAATACAAAAAGTATCACAATCCCTTAGACTTGATTTCTTATCGTCTTCTTACAGAACGTTGTAGGAACCTAATGAAATCTTGCTACAAATCCTATCACGCGGAAGTCGAGAATCGCATCCAGACAAACCCTAAATATTTCTGGTCATATATAAAAAGCAAACGTGGGGGCTCTAGTACTTATCCTATGTCTATGACCGACGGTACCGCTTGTTTTACAGAGGGTAGGGACATCTGCAATCTCTTTGCCTCTTATTTCACTTCCATATACTGTAATTCTCAAATCATAAATAAAAGTAATACAAGCGAACAGTTTGACGCTAATCTCAACATAATTAGCAAAAACAGTGAATGCTTTTCTTCCTTAAAATTAGATCACAATTTAATTTTAAAAAAGCTACAGAGTGTGGACATTTCTAAAGGAGCAGGCTACGATAATGTTCCCCCAATATTCATTTCAAAGTGTGCGAACAATCTTCTGAAACCACTTTACAAAATTTTTAACATTTCACTTCAAACAGGTATATTTCCAACTATATGGAAAACTTCCAAAGTTGTGCCTATTCATAAAAATGGTGACAATTGTAGAGTCTCAAATTACAGACCAATCTCCATCTTATCTACCTTAGCTAAAGTACTGGAAGCACTTGTCTGTCCGTACATACAAAATCACATTCTGAAGTTCATATCACCCTGCCAGCATGGTTTTATGAACGGTAGATCAACTTGTTCTAATCTGGTCCTCTTCACTGAGGAATTAATTGAGCAGATGGATAGCAATAGACAAATTGATGTTATCTACACGGACTTCAGCAAGGCGTTCGATAGAGTTTCTCATGATATCGTTCTAAAGAAACTATCAATTTATGGTTTTCATGGTTCTCTTTTAAAATGGCTTAAGTCTTATCTTACTGGTCGAGCTTTTTATGTGGTAGTGAATGGCTTTGCATCAGAGTTGCATCCCATCCCTTCAGGTGTGCCCCAAGGATCTCACATCGCACCGATATTATTCAACATCTTCGTTAATGACCTTCCTCTTAGTCTTAAATTTACGAAACCATACATGTTTGCTGACGACTTGAAATTGGCTAGAGCCGTTAGTTCACTTGAGAATGCTGCACTTGTGCAAAGCGATATCGACTCCTTAGTGGCTTGGTGTGCAACAAACGGCATGAAATTGAACGTAGATAAATGTGTGCACATCAAATTTACTAGGAAATCTAAAATTATTCCAACTACTTATCATATCGAAGGCATTCAGATCAAAGAGGTAAATGTGGTCAAAGATTTGGGTATTCTTTTGGATCAAAAACTAACATTCGTCAATCATATTGATCATGCTACAAAGAGAGCATCAAAAATGTTAGGTTTCGTAATAAGAAATGGAAAATTTTTCAGAAAACCAGCAACCAAAATTTTGCTCTACTGCAGCCTAGTGCGCTCAATTTTAGAATACGGAAGTGTAGTATGGCGTCCCCATTTTGCAACTCATAGTCTAAGGATTCAACGGATTCAAAAAAGGTTCATACGTCATTTATCGTACTCCGTTGGCAAGCTGAGTAATCCCTATTCGTACTCTAAATCCTTAAAATACTTTAAGTTAACATCATTGGACAAGCGAAGAGATATAACTGACCTAATGTTCTTCTATAAAGTTATTAGAAACTACATATGCTCTCCAGAACTCCTCTCAAAATTTTGCTTTAGAGTGCCGCGGAGAATACCTCGTGCTCCTATTAAGCCTCTAGTATGCCCATTCCGTAGGACGCTACTAGGATCGAATTCCCCGATCTCTAGAATGTGCCATATTTATAACAAATATTGTGACCATCACCAAATCCTTGACGTACATTGTATGACAACCACTAAATTCAAAAAAACCATTTTAGAGATGTAGCTTTTAGTCTTTTGCCTTATTATTTAATGTTTTATTGTGTAAGCGATGATTACCTATAAGTGATTGTGCATTATGTACTAGATACTAAGCTTTAGCAATTAAGATTTGAGTAATGTAACAATCGTTGGTAATCTAATTAAATAAAAAAAAAAATGAGGGTGACCAGAATGAGCTGCATCTTTCACATCAAAATTACCAGACTGAAAATGCTTGAACTAACTTTGTGCTATTCTTACTGACATTCCATTAGGTTCATAAACGTCACAAATATTTTTCGCGGCTTGAATCGCTTTTTCTCTTTTTCATATTAAAACTTCAGAATGTATGTTTTTTTACATGGTAGAGTCATGCTGCGCCTATTAAATAGTATAGTTGTAGCACGAATGGGTTGGCTCCACCAGGGAAGTACCACGCCCTCACAGAATACCAGCGTAAAATAGCAGCTTAATGCTGCTGTGTTTCGTATGGTGAGTGTAGAGAACCAGAGACCAATTCTACTGGAAAAGAGGCATTTTATCTTAGTCCTCACGGCTGACAAAGTATCTGCATTTTAATTCGAAAACGAAGATAGATGTAGATGTCTATGGGCCACAGCAACCACTTACCATCAGGTGGACTGCATGCTCCTTTGTCACCCTTATTCTATAAAAAAAAATATAATGAATTTCTTCGTTAGACTCACTCATTTTGGTGGACAGAAAAACGATTGAAAAATGACGAGTGTTATTTACTTTTTATTTTCCTTTTTCTTAATGTCCTATGTAATATTTCTTAAAATCCTATATGTATTGATATTAAAACCAGTCAGATACAAATAGTACAACCAAAGAGACTTTTCTTCAATTTAATACAAACATATAATTTAAAATTAAAAATTTTGTACCGACTTCAATATAAATTATTAAGAATAACTCAAAAACCATTTGTCAGACCTTGACCAAATTTATATGGGACCACATGTGAAGCAACAGCTTTGAAATAAAAAAAATCATCGAAATTGGTTCACCGAGAAAAAAGTTATGAGGTAACACACATAAAAAAATATAGTCGAATTAAGTATGTCCTTCTGTTTGAAGTCGGTAGAAAATTCGAAGAAACTTTTTCCCTGACCTATTATTTATGTCCCATTCCTGGGCTCAGGTATTCGGATCTCTCAGAGGTTTATGGTATGGAACAATGTTTTCCTTCTTTGGTAAATATTTTCTGCATCTTTCTATTTTAGTTTTCTTACTTTAAAATTACATCATAAAGTAACGTAACATTTTCCTTTATAATAATTGCAGTTTTGATAAGTAATTACTGTCTATTAATTTATCGATTTGCTTAATAGATACACATGGGTGATGGATTGCCTGATAAGATATGCACAGAGTGCATTCAGAAACTCAGCAGTGCATACATATTCAAGCAACAGTGTGAAAGATCTGATCAAGAGTTAAGACGCCACTACGTGCAACAGCAGAGTGAGTTTATTTTCTTTCATAACAAATGTGGGTGGGACTTAAAAATTTCGTACCTTTTGAAACAATATTACACTACCCTTAATTTTAGTATTCTTTTTTATATATTTTATCATAGAATTTTATTTATTGCATTAAAATAAAAACATTAAAAATAGATGGTTGTAAATAAAATTCGTTTAAATAAAACTAATTTTACGGATTTTATCGCGCATATTAACTTATTTTATATTCCCGACGTTTCGGGCACTTTTCAGCACCAATGGTCACGGGGGGTCTGAGGTGTATGACGTCCCAATGTCACAGTTAACCACGGCTACCTTCAGATTCAAAATTATTAATTTTTGTTCCGATCTACGCAGTATTAACTTACAGTATTATGAAGTCTTGCAGTTGTATGCTTGGGTTGGGATTTAATTTTATAAATTATGTGATCCCAAGCAGATGGTAGCACCCAGCCATCTTCTCTGTTGAAATTAGGATGTTTTTTAATTTCAATAGCCTCGCGAATCATCCTGGGGAGGAATCGGTGTTCTTTAGTGAGGATTTGTGGTCTATCAAATCTAATGTAGTGACGGGGGCGATCCTGTACGTGTTCACAGACTGCAGACTTCCCGGAATGTCGATTCTTCACATCAACTATGTGTTCTTTAACGCGGGCTTATATGGATCTTTTAGTTTGTCCTATATAAGAGAGACCACATTCACAATCAAGCTTGTACACTCCTGCATCTTGCAGAGGAATATTACACTTGACTGATGGTAAAACCTGACTAATCTTCTTCGGCGGCTTGAAGTATGTTTTAATATCAGCACGCTTCAAGATGCAGCCAATCTTGTCAGTGACACCTCTAACATATGGCAGTACAGCAGGCTGTGGCTGGCTTCACTCGTTCACTGTGACGTAGGCGCGGGACCCGAAGCTTATTGTCGTGCAAAACTTGCTTGACGTGTTGGAGCTCGGCGGCCAGGTGTTTACTGTCACAGATCCCTCGTGCTCTCTGAAACAAAGATTTACCCACGGTAGCTAACTGTGAAGGATGGTGGTGAGAATCACCGTTTAAATATCTATCTGTATGGGTCTTTTTTCTATACACAGTGTGGCTCAAGGTGTTATCAGGATTCCGAATTACTAAAACATCTAGAAAAGCTAAAGAATTATTTGCCTCTAACTCCATAGTGAACAGAATTTTAGAATTTAAGGAGTTAAGATGGTCTAAAAATGCAGTTACTTTATCTAAGGGTAGAATTGTGAAAGTGTCGTCTACGTACCGCTTGTAGAATCTTGGGTTTACAGGAGAAGTAAGCAGGGCTTTCTCCTCAAAGTCCTCCATAAATATATCGGCGACAATGGGAGATACAGGTGAGCCCATCGCCACTCCATCTACTTGCTTGTAAAACTCCTCCTTCCACAATAGGTAGCCAGATGTAAGGCAGTGTCTGAGTAATACTGCATATTCTACGGGCATGTTGTTTTCCTCTAGTCTTCTAGTAACAATAGAGATGCAGTCCTCAACAGGTAAGCATGTGAACAGAGACTGCACATCAAAACTGACCATAGTTTCATTGTCTGCCAGATGTAGGTCTTTAAGCTCGCTGACAAAATGGTAGGAATCCTTTGTGTGTGCTCTTGTATGTCCCCTGAGCGGTGAGAGTATATTCGCTAAGTGTTGAGCCAATCTGTAAGTTGGTGAATCGATTTCGAGTGGAGCATTGGGCTTGTGTATTTTTGGTAACCCATACAACTTCGGTGGTTTTGCACACGTAGGTATTATCGATTTTACGTCTAGATTTAATTTTCCGGAGTGTTTTTTTATGAGATCACTAGTTGTTTTAAGTGTGTTATTTGTTGGGTCATTTTTAACCTTTTTATACGTACTTACATCACAAAAGTTCTTGTATTTTAGAATTATAATCCGTCGAGTCCATAACTACCGTGGCATTTCTCTTATATTACAAGAACTTTTGTCGGATGTAAGTACGTATAAAAAAGTTAAAAATGACCCAACAAATAACACACTTAAAACAACTAGTGATCTCATAAAGAAACACTCCGGAAAATTAAATCTAGACGTAAAATCGATAATACCTACGTGTGCAACTATTTATTTAAAATATAAAATATTTTTAATATTGATATGGTCACTATAAGATGTTGTTAGGTTAGCTAATTACGTAATAACTTGAGACAGAAGGACCCTTAAGTAGGGACTGAATAAATTAACCGACTTGGTATTACATGGATCTCACAACTTTTTACGGTAGAACTGAGTTGCGAGACTTGGTTTTTTTTACAAGTTATGTTTTTGATGGCATGCCACACAGCAGTGTTAAGCTGCTACTTAACGCTGGTATTCTGTGAGAGCGGGGTCCTGCCCTGGTCGAGCCGACCCATTCGTGCTACAACTATACTAATAATATAGCTGCAGCATGGCTCTACCACGTAGAAAATATAAACTGCCACTTTGACAGGTTCAGCAAAGTATGTGATCTAAAATTGACATCCAGGTCGGTTATCACCTAGTGATATAGGATCATAATTCAGTGCTCATTTAGTGCTGTCGATATACGAAAAAGGATTTGGGAAATTATTATTTTTTTTGAATACCGTAAACTGCTTCTTTCACATCTTTAGCAGAGTATGTACTGAGAAAATTGACATCGAAGTGGGTTATTTATTACCTAGTGATATAGATAATAATTGAGTGCTTAATTAATGTTCTCCATATTTAAAACAGATATAATTTTTTTTTGTTATTTACAAATACCGAAAGTTGCTATTTCGACAGTTTTAGCAGACCACAAAGTAGAAAATTAAATAATCAAAAATGGATGCTATTTAATGATGCTTTCAAGGAGTTAATTTCTCGATAGAATAGTTTTTCAAAAAATATGAAATAAAATATATTATTATTTTATATTACTTTTTTCATAACGTTTTCCTATGCAAAATCAAGCTCAAGTACTTATATACATGGGGCTCTCAATGCCATATTTGATGATTTTAAAAATTTTCACTTTTGCTTTATTCGACCTCTCGATATTTTTTCGCACCCATCGAAAAACCCTTCTTCTTATTGTTTAAAACATATTTAATTTTAAAAAATCAAATCGCTCCTTTTTTATTAGTTGTTTGCTTATAACTTCTTTAGTAAGGGTTTAACCGGAATTTTTCATTCTCAAATTCCTCGTTTTTTAATTCCCTCAAAAAAATTATTCAGTGTTCAAAAATGTAATTTCTTAGTTTTAAACTAATAATATATTATAATAATAATTTATTGGAGAATAATTCTGTAACTTTCAACAATCGATTTTGTGTAATAGAAATGGAAAAAAAAACATTAAAATAGGCTTAAATTTTTTCTGCCATTCAATAAAATAACGTTTCAGCTTGAAAACACGGTAACTTGAGAATAAGCCCATCGTTTAAGATACTTTCTTTTTAATAGACTCGTCTTGAAGAATTTAGGATCTTAAATGATCATACAAAAAATGTGTTTATCCAACTTTATCAAACTCAAAGTTCATAGATCACTATGAACTTTGTAATAATGGCAACTTGCTCACACAACGAGAATAGTTGCGTTTATATTATTTGTTAACGGCTTGTGTAGAAATCGCATGCAATCAATGTATGATTGCATGCGATTTCTAACCCTCTTACTATGTCACATTTCGTCTTGTAATACACGGTCTACGAACATTTTTACGTGCCTATGGCTAAAACGATTTTTTCGCAGGTTTTACCACTCTACAGACTAACCACTAATGTAACTACTAATGTAACTTCATGTTAAATAATTCTGATTGTCTCCTTCATTTATTGGGATACAATCAACCAGTTACAGCCTGCTTCACTGCATACATACTAGTATCACTTCGTCAAGATCACTAAGATAAAGGGGACCCAGTTATTGCCCGTGGTCCAGTTTCTGACCCTTTCAGCTTTAATCGAAATTAAAAAAAAAACTTAAATAATGAAATAAATTATACGATAATATAAAGTAATATATTCTATGCCTTATTAATATAAATTACGAGTTTATCAAATATGGATAAATGGATAAAAAAAATGTGCTTGCAGCACTAATTGAGCACTAATTTATTATCTTATACCATTAGGCGATAACCCACTCTGATTTCAATACTTTCAAAGTAGCAGTTTATGATATTAAAAAGAAATAAATATATTTTCCCAAACTTTTTTGCTAAATTATTTTCCCAAATTTTTTTAGCAAAATTATTGCTGCTTCTATTTGTTGCTGTATTAAGCGGTTATCGGTTTAGATGGTAAGAACACTGCTAGCTTAAGAGGGCCCTTCCCGGCCCGTCTATCGTCAACGCGAGCATGGTTAAAAAGCTTGTTGTTTCATCCAGCGCAATGTTAGAAAAAGAGGCAAAGCGAAAAGACAAAGACAGCGCCTTACCGTTCGGTTGGCATTCGGTAACTTACGGGCTCGCTACTATGGCGCATAGCTATAGTTTTGTAAATTTCTCTGCATGCCTACATTTAGTAGGTACCATATTATTTTATTATATTACTCTTTGTCTAGTATAGACGTGCCACTTGGCCTCGGAGATATGTGTGTGTTGTTTTTTACCAAACTAGGTATCGTACGTGCGCTATTTTTGACATGGAAATTATTTATGTTATAATTATAAATATAATATATTAAAGAAATTATTTATGTTATAAATAATTTTATAATGTTATAAATAATTTTTCATGTAAAAAATAATATGTCGCAAATAAAAATAACTGTCGCTCAGAGTCGGCCAACTCGTGTGTGTAAGTACACTCGGCGACACATCAAGCTATACATTTCCAGTATATCATAGCCTCGCTTTGTTTCAATTTCCCGTACAATAAGAGTACCGCATAAACTGGTTTATATACCTTGATTTGTCGTCGTGCGTACAAGCCCGGCACGCAAACATTCACAACATATTAGTCGGCCGTTACACGCGCAAACATCAATACTCAGACATAAACTGGACTCAGTTTTGTTTTAGCAGGGTGTTCCATCCAACTTATATTGTTCGTCCATGTTATACCTAAACAGAGCACGAAAATGTAAAGGTAAATAATTTATTCTGCTTATGGAGTAGCGGTATAAACAGAATAAACTCTTTACCTGTCTAGGCCGTTTGTATTTAGGAAGCTGAAATTAGGTAACGTACCTACTTGTACCGTATGTAAATGTCTCCAAATGTTGTTTAGGTACTAATTTGTACCGTAGTACAGGTGGTTGATCACAAATAAAGTTGTCTAAATAGAGTTGGGTATAAATATATATTTTTATTCTAAAGAACTTTTTTACACTTTACGAACAATACATAAAACAACCCGGTTGTCGAGACGATTCCGATTTCCGAACACAAAGAGTTTACTGTCAGAAGTGATTGAAAATTTAGTAAAAAAACATATTATTATCTAATAACAATAGTAATATTCTCATTCTCAATAGTAATAAAATCGATCTGCTTCAAAATCCTTATCCAAACAAAGTCTGTGTCCGTATTCACAAATGCCAGGTTCGTTTCACATAATAAAATAGCTAAACCTTCGCTAGCAAAATCAGTGTCCAGTATAAAACAAAAGATCGTTGTAGTAGGTAAAACAGATGTCACTAAATATAAAATGCAACGGCACATTGACGAAACGCAGTCAACAAATTGAATACCTACTAACAATTCCGAGAGACCAGAGAGCCGAACGCGTGCGCCACCGGCGCTCGTCATTCAACTCCCCCGTCTCACCCCGCCCCTACCCCGCACGACTTGTCCCCCGCATACCTCTTACCGCCACTTGGCTAATAAGCAAGTGAGAACGCGATATTATTGAACGAAAAATAGTGTGCGGGAATTTCATAAAACTTGTTCCAGGAAATACATGTTTTTCAGTAACCCACAAGTTTGTGAAATAAATTTTTGTCATTTAGTCAGTCTCCATTACATTGGCGAGGTTTCTATAAAATAATTTCTTTACTTTTACTATTAGTGAGTAAATTATGAACGACCAAAGTTCAGGTAAAATTTATGCAAAAAAGCAGAATTTTGGAGGCTTATACTGAATTTGTTTCTACAAATTTAGATTTTTTGTTTAGATAGGAACCTAGATATAGTGCACAAAATACCTATTAATTATATTATATATTAAAATTTTCAAAGAAAGATCTATTACAATGCCATAATCACATACAAGCTTTTGTATGAAAAGTTAGACGGGTTGGCCGCTCTTAATTAAAGGCTAGCACTTTTCTAATTTTTGATCAAGGTATTTTGGTGTGAAATTTAATGTTGCTGCACTAAATTAGCACTAAATGAGCACTTAATATTTAGCAAAAATTTTAGTGATTTTGCCCAAATTATCATTCTAGCTTTATAGACGTCATATCTTGTAATTACAAATTGATAGTCTCCGGTTTAAAAAATCTTTGTCACGAAGAAGAAGTCCCCTAGCCGAGGTGCTACAGTCTTCGTCTGAATCTGAATCTTATAATTGTAACTACTTTTTGCAAGACAGTTATTGCTTTTTCTTTTATCTCTCTTTACTTTTATCGAGCTAACAGCACAATGCAATAATAAGTACAGTTGTATTAGTAGATACTATAATATCAGAATCTTCTTTTTCAGACTAGATTTTTATTAATCAAGTTATAGTAATATGCCTTTACAATAATGCCCGGGATTTTTGCATTGTTGTGCTAAGAGGGCCACTTACCAAGAAGAACCCACATGGCTGTCCTGAGATAAAGTGCCAGCCGGAGATAGTCTCTTCGAGTAGCGTTGGCAAGATCTCTGCCCCAGCGACCGCAGCCAATGCCTTATACTCTATGTTACTTCCATAACATAAACAGCACCATCTAACTACAACCCATATGTTACAAACCCATCGAGCCCATTTAGGCTACAGAGCGTGCCAACGAAGTAGACATATTTTTTATGTAAGATGAGGTAAACTAACAAGCAGTTGGGTACAAAATATGACATGAACACCATCTATATTAATATTACTCACCTTTGTTTTACCGATATGTAGTCGTAACGGCAGAGTAAGGTCTCGAGGGGCGATCTAATTCCCAACGGATACGTAATACTATAGATTAGACCTAAGATGAATATACATAAGACTAAGACCATGTGTAACGACATATTACATCTATGCTGGTGGTTGTTTAGACAAATCGTCTCATTAGGTTAGTTTAACATCGATCAAGACGCAGTCAACTGATCTTAAACGGCTGAAGAGCATGCGGGTAATTACCGTACTTTGTGGGAATCTATGAGGGAGGCATAAGCTACGTTCAGCAGTGGATTTGTGATGAGGTGAAATGTTAGCATGATTGAAAATAACATTAAGCTTTACCTCTAGGTCTGGTAAAATGATAAAAATGATCATCTCAATCATTACCAGATCTAAAATAGAACGGTAGTAGTAAATATTTTAGGTTGCACCCAAGTCATTGCAAAAAACAAAGCTTGTCTTAGCTGTGGTCACAGGATATTAACGATACTGAACGAATACAGCTAGTAATTTCTTATAAGTGATCAAAGGGGAAGCTATTGCTTAGTGAACTGTTAAGGTGGACGCATACTTTTACGCGCCAAACGAGTCACAATCCACGAATTTACTTAGGTACCTTTAACACCTACCTACGCCCAATGCATCGACCACACCGAGGTAGATAAAATTTCGTATATTTCGTTGACGCAAGTTCATTTCGTAGAGTCCTTACGATCCTTTTTTAATTTGTTTACTGAATAAGCATGGTTTATAATTTTGTTACGTTTATTTAGTCGGTGCGAATAAAATCTCTGTGAACTGTAATGGAATTTCACGAGGTTTTTAATGAAAAAAATATCAATGAAATACAGATACGACTCAGGATACATTAGGTTATAGATACGTGACGCGCGTTATCAGAATCTAATGCAACAGCCCGAGTGACCGTACCCAAAATGCGGGCGTCCTGGCCGATTCATCCGCTCTTAAGTTTTGCGCGCGTTTAATTGATTATCGAATCAAATTTATTTTCAGGTTTGGGTGGCCATCCAAAATTTCCAGCAATTAGAACGATGTTTTATAACCCCTGGCATCATAGACTCTGAACGGAGAAACCGATTTTGATTAAGTTTTTTCCGTTTGAAAGTTATCTTAATCAAAAAATCATAACAATGCTTAATAAAATCTGTTCAGCCGTTTGAAGATCATCAGCTCTTTGTTTCGGAGGTTTTTTAAATTTTTAATTAATTTGCATACAAAGAACTCCAAAATTTGTTATGTTCGGCTGAATCTGCACTTCCGGCATGGACAAGTGCGACTTCTCCTTAAAGGAGAATATATAATAACTCTTATATGCGTACGTAATATACACATATGTATATCGCAGATTAGAGACTTGTGTAGCTAACCATACTGGTAGACTAACAAAAGTTCAGATTAGCACTTTTTATCTAATACTTTTATTTTTAAATTGTTACAGCTTGCAGTTCGTCATCAACAATAAATATCCAGAGCAGTGTTACAGAAACGAATAACTCCTGCAACTACAAATCAATTACATCTATTAATGATAACAATACTTTTTCCATTCAGACTCATATCGAACAAGTAAAACAAAGTAACATCTCTACCCTGTCATCAAAAGTGTGCCTTCCCGAAACTAGTGCCAAAAGAGTAATCAAGAAATCTCCAGTTCTTCCCAAAACAAAGAAAAAACTTGCCAGTCAAAATCAAAAAAAAGTTCTACCGAAAAATGAACATAAAAGAATAAGCAAGAACAAAAATGGTAGTAACAACTTGAAAGCACAGTCCTCCGTTGGCAGCAACAAAATTATTAAAGCGAAAAGCATTGCTTTAGATGTATCTAAATCATCACCAAATACTAAAATTATGCCGGATATTAGAGATACAAAGTTCAATCTAAAATGTAATAAGTGTGGAGAAACATTCAAGTTGAATATTATGCTAAAGCGACATTTAAAAACTTGTAGCAAATCCTCTCGCAAGTCAATACAGGAAATTACAGCAAGTCCGCAACAACTTGTCAATTTCAGTTGTGAAATATGCACAGCAAAATTTAGAACAATGCAGAATTTGCAAAAGCACATGAAGGTAGTTCATACAACAGTTCTTAAACAAGTGTCGTGTGAACCAAAAGTTGAATCCATAAAGATTAACATACCATGCCTTTATTGTAATGTTTCATTCAGCAGTTATTCAGTTTATTGCGCACATTTCAATTCTTGTTCTAATAAATATGATATCTCCATTTTTGTCTGTCCGATATGTCATAGAAAACTAATTGGAAAAAGTGCTTATTTCATTCATATCAAAATGTTTCACTTTGAGCCACAAGAAGACATAAAGCTTACTATGGGTATTAAACCATCTACACATATGTGTTGCTTATGCAATAAGACATTGCCAACGCCTGAGTTGCTTAGAAAACATCTTGAAAGCCACAGCCCTATTTCAATTGAATCAAGAGTTTCCAATAAATCGAGGTATTTTATTTTTTTCTATTTCATAAATTTAAGTGATGAAAATGAATTTTATAGTTTGTATCGAATTAATTTTATAAATTTAAGTGAGAGAATTTATTACCACAATTCGCCCCATGTGGATCATAAGAGTCGACTATAGATAGATAGAGGTATAAACATATCGTTTACGTCAGACGGACAGTAGTGTCAACGGTGCTAAAGTCTGGTACTGAGATCGTTCATCTGTCAGAGGATAGGTGCATAGGACGTAGCCAGGTATGTACTTCCACCAATTGGCCTTTTATATCTAATTATTTTTTTATACACAGTCAATCTGTGCAGTCAATAGTCAATCAGTATTTCCTGGTTTTTATTTTAATGACGTGGCGTAAACGACTTGGTTAAAAGTACAGTCAATAAAAAATATAGTCTATTTAAAGATACAGTCTATTAAAGGTCCGCTGCTGGGCACAGGTCTCTTATTTCTGAGAGGCTTACACCATAATATTAGTACTATAGTAGAAATGTCTTACCGTTTTTTACAAAAAAGTGGTACTTTATAAAAAAGTAAAATATTGTTGTTGTTTTTTAATCGCTCAAAAACCTATTACAATTCATAATTATAACATCGCTCGTAGTTGTACAAAAATACACGCATATCGACAGTGTCGCTGGCAAGCGTATGCTACATTTGCAGGCCTAATAGCGGCGACAGGTCAGGATTAGAACCAGATCCACAGTACGGCTCTGCTTCTTGCGGAAAAAGGACTTAATTAAATAGGTCTAAATATTGTACAACCGTGTAATGATTTGCCGTGTAGTGGCGGTCAAGAATATCCACTACCCCATATCCTCCCGTGGGTGTCGTAAAAGGCGACAAAGGGAAACAGCCAGGGCAGCAGCATCTTCCTGATAATAGCCAAATTACAATAAAAAAACTGCGGTTGCCAACCCGCTCGCCAAGCGTGGCAACTATGGCAAATACCCCCCAATGATGAGAGCAACAAAAAAACGGCCCCCAGTCCCCGGCGGCCCCGCTATTCCTGGCTACGGTGGCGACCATGGTAACGGCGGGGCAGGGGGTGCTAAGAATCTCCGGTGGAGGTTCGGTTGCCACCTTAGACGACTCGACCTGGCAACGTACAACGCACGCACCCTGAGGACTGACGAGAAGATCGTGGAGCTGGAAGAAGAGATAGACAAGTTGCGCTGGCATATTATAGGATTATCCGAAGTCCGAAGAGAGGGGGAGGACACGGTAATCCTCGAATCCGGCAACTTGCTCTATCACCGGGAGGGCGACCATCTGTCCCAAGGAGGTGTCGGATTTATCGTCCACAAGTCTCTCGTTAACAACGTTGTAAAAATCGGGAGTGTGTCGACGAGGGTTGCGTACCTTATACTCAGAATCACCAAACGGTATTCGCTGAAGGTCATACAGGTTTACGCACCAACCTCGGCACACCCCGATGAGGAGGTGGAGGAAATGTATGAGGATATCTCTAGAGCCATGCATTCCTCCAAAACCCAATATACGGTGTTAATGGGAGACTTCAATGCAAAACTAGGCACAAGAGAGAACGGTGAGCTGAAAGTAGGGAAATTTGGAATAGGGCAACGGAACCCAAGGGGCCAGCAGCTGGCCGACTTCATGGAGAAAGAGGGACTCTTTATGATGAACTCTTTCTTCCAGAAGCGGCCCCACAGGAAGTGGACCTGGTCGAGCCCCGACGGTTCCACAAAAAATGAGATTGACTTCATTATGACGACCAGACGACAACTGTTCAGTGATGTCTCCGTGATCGCGAGGGTGAAAACTGGTAGCGATCACCGAATGGTTAGAGGCACACTGAACCTAAACGTTAAGTTGGAGAGGTCTCGTCTAATGAAGTCAACGCTCCGTCCCCCTCGTGCTCTGTTCCAAAGTCCCGAAACCTTTCAGCTCGAGTTAAAAAACCGTTTTCAGTGCCTGGAAGACTGCAATGAAGTGGACGATATGAATGACAAGCTCGTGGAAACTGTCCATGCGGTTGGAGCTAAGTTCTGCAAGACCCGCCGCAGAAGAACACAAAAACTCTCCGATCACACTCTTAATCTCATGGCTGTTAGACGGGAGATGAAGCTACATTCTTCAACAGACTTGACAGCATACAGGCATCTGAACAGACAGATCTCCAAATGCATGCGGCGGGACTTACGCAACTTCAATACAGCTCGTATTGAAGAAGCGATCGAGCGGAACCAAGGCTCCAAAGTCTTTGCCAGAGATCTGTCTGCCAGAAAGAGCCAACTGTCAAAGCTGAAGACAGAGTGTGGCAGCATCGTTTCCGGGACACCTGAGATTTTGAGTGAGATTGAGAGGTTCTATGGGCAGCTGTACACATCATCGTTGGAGCCACACGCAAGTGTGAGTAACGATCCAAGAGCGAGTCTCATCCGACACTATTCCGAAGATATCCCGGATGTCAGTCTGAGCGAGATTAGGATGGCTCTCCAGCACCTTAAAAACGGTAAGGCCCCAGGCGAGGATGGAATTACAGCGGAGCTTCTGAAAGCGGGTGGAAGACCGGTACTTGAAGTCCTTCAGAAGCTCTTTAATTCCGTCCTCCATGGTGGCATTACACCGGAGGCGTGGAGCAGAAGTGCGGTGGTCTTGTTCTTCAAGAAAGGTGACAACGCTCTCTTGAAGAACTACAGACCGATTTCCCTTCTGAGCCGCGTCTACGTGCTGTTTTCGAGAGTCATTACGAATCGTCTCGCGCGCAGACTTGACGACTTCCAGCCTCCCGAACAAGCCGGTTTCCGAAAGGGCTTTAGCACCATAGACCACATACATACCCTTCGGCAAGTTGTACAGAAGTCCGAAGAGTACAATTTGCCACTATGTCTGGCGTATGTGGACTATGAGAAAGCCTTTGATTCCGTCGAAATTTGGGCGGTGCTGCAGTCCCTTCAGCGGTGCCAAGTTGACTGTCGGTATATCGAAGTGTTGAAGTGCTTGTACAGTAGGGCTACGATGGCTATCCGAGTACAGAACCAGAGTACGAAACCTATCCAATTGCAGAGAGGTGTAAGACAGGGTGACGTCATATCCCCGAAACTCTTCGCCGCTGCATTGGAAGACGTTTTCAAGCTTCTGGACTGGAAAGGATACGGTATCAACATCAATGGCGAGTACATCACTCACCTTCGATTTGCCGACGATATAGTCCTTATGGCAGAATCGCTGGAGGACCTAAGCACTATGCTCAATGACCTCAATAGTGTTTCCCAACGGATAGGTCTTAAGATGAACATGGACAAAACTAAGATCATGTTTAATGTCCATGTCACACCTATGCCGGTAGTTGTTGGGAACACTAAGCTCGAAGTTGTTGACGAGTATGTTTACCTGGGACAAATAGTCCGACTGGGTAAGTCCAACTTCGACCGAGAGGTCAATCGACGGATTCAACTCGGCTGGGCAGCGTTCGGGAAGCTACGACACATCTTCTCGTCAGACATACCTCAAAACCTTAAAACGAAATTGTACAACCAGTGCGTGTTGCCAGTGATGACTTACGGAACTGAGACGTGGTCCTTCACTGCTGGCCGTATGAGGAAGCTCAAGGTCGCTCAACGAGCTATGGAGAGGGCTATGCTCGGAGTTTCTCTGCGTGATAAACTTAGGAATGAGGATATCCGCAGTAGAACCAGAGTGACCGACATAGCCCAACGGATTAGTAAGCTGAAGTGGCAGTGGGCCGGCCATATAGCTCGAAGAACCGACAACCGATGGGGAAGAAAGGTTCTCGAGTGGCAGCCTCGTACCGGTAGGCGAAGTGTAGGGCGTCCCCCCACGAGATGGAGTGACGACCTGGTAAGACATGCAGGAAGTCGATGGATGCAGGTGGCTCAGGACCGTGTTTTGTGGCATTCTTTGGGGGAGGCCTATGTTCAGCAGTGGACTTGTGAAGGGCTGTAATGATGATGATGATGATGTGTAGTGATAGTGTAAGAATATCTATCTCCCATATCGTCCCGTGGGTATCGTAAGAGGTGACAGAGGGAAATCGAAACAGGTGATGGGCAGCAGCATCTTCCTAATAACAACTCCAAATAATAAAAAAAACTGCGGTTACCAATCCGACTGCCAGGCCAGGAAACTACTGCGAAATCCCCCCTACGAGGCCAGATTGCCTCTAGTAGGGAGGCCTATGTTCAGCAGTATGCTGAAGAAAGCCTTGCAGGTCAACTATCAACTTATATAATAATATTCGACGACTGTGTGGCACGGCGTGTGCGATGAGGGTTATAGTTTTGTTCCCGCACGGAACAAGTTATATGTATCACTTACAAATAATGTTCCAGGTCTGGATTTGGATATTTTGTCCTTGTGCAATTTATGCACGCAGTCTGTTTTTACGATGCAGGAGAAAATCCTAGCGTCTATCCCGTAGTTACACTTCGGGAAAATTTGGTCCCTTGTTTCATTTAAAAACAAAATTCGAAATTTAAGAGAAAACATTCTTAATGCTGTAGCTGTAACAACTTTTGAATCAGTTTGGATAGATGTTTTTTTTAAAATACTCCGTTTAATTTAACTGGAAATATATATTTTAATAAAAATGTATAATAATGCTACGTATTTACAATTATATTTTGTATTTAAAGGTAATATTTTTCAGAGCGAGTATGTCAAACAAAACAGCAGATATAATTTCCGTCACCAACAAGCATAAATTGTCATCGACCGAAGAAAATTTTAACCTGGAGCAGCGACATGATCCAGGAAAACGGGCAATAATATTAAAATCTATAGATATTACATCTGAGATAGTGCTGGAAACATGATATATTTTACATTACAATTTAATTGTAGATATTATATATTTTTAATAAGACTGTCATGAATTCTAAATTTACGATAATGTTGATATCATAATAAATTTTATTTAACCTACAACGCTTTAAACATTGAATTCCATCATTTTACTTAAATAAAGTTATGGAAAATTTTTGCCCTACAATCTAAGCGGGAAATCAGTCCAGTGTAAATTTTATATAATACACAATGGTGAAAACATAAAATTTTATAATTTTACCTAACAAAACGAACATACGGGAAACTATGAACAAATTACGAATCGGACGAGGCAGTATGGTCTAAGATCTTTACCTGCTTTAATTAGTAAACCGTAACAATGACAACCAGTGCTACCAATTCTATCAACTATTCGAATTTTTGAAAAATTTTAGTTCTATATCCGCAAAAATGATATTAACCCGTTCAGTGCGGTTGGTACATCAGGCGTGCCATGGATTATTTTTGGTGTGTGGCGTATGACACGCGAGTCGTGTCTTTTTAAAAATTGTTACTCGCTCAAATTGCGTTTTTGGAAAATTTATCCAAAACAAAATATTCATTATTTTGCAAGTAGTTCATGCTTACAGCTTCGTTTCTGGATACTTTGTGGGTTTTAAATCATGTTGTGGAAAAATAGTCTAATAAGTAACAAATAATAGCACTCATTGCGATCGCTCACAAACTCAAGTTGTAAGTAAATTTCTGGAAAACAAGTCTCCTGTTATAAAAAAACAATGCTTTTGTCTTATTGTTTAATTTTGCTTAAAATGGTTGAACTGCCGTCCATTATTATCCTTAGATTATCTATTATATGGCCGAATAGACCTACGAAGTACCATGTGCTCTTGTGATATGGTATAAGGTTTATTTTTGCTTTAAACAGTTCGAAACCGCTCATGCATAAAAAAGTTCGCTAATAAATAGTCTTTTGTCAATCCGCCGCGGTAAAGCGCCGGCGTTTTCTCCTTTTGAAAACACTTGCTTTGCTATTCTTACTAATTAGACTTGTTTAGATCGACTTTACTTTTACTTTTGTATAAATATAATAGCGTGCAGTTTCATGGTCACTTGGAAGGGAAGGCCAAATTGGCCTCTAAAAAGCTTGGCGTGCTCAGCAGAGCGAGACAGTATTTCATGCCGGCACATCGCTTGCAACTTTACAAAGCGCAAGTTCGGCCCCACATGGAATACTGTTCTCATCTCTGGGCCGGGGCACCCCAGTGCCAGCTCCTTCCACTTGACCGCATCCAGCGCAGAGCCATTCGAATCGTCGACGACCGAGTTCTTTCCGATCGGCTCGATACACTGGCACTGCGTAGAGATGTTGCATCTCTTTGCGTATTTTATCGCATCTATCACGGGGAGTGCTCTGAGGAATTGTTCGGACTAATTCCAGCCGCTCAATTTCACCATCGCACGTCGCGACAAAACTTGCGTTACCATCCATACCATCTGGATGATTGGCGGTCCACCACTGTGCGATTTAGAAGTTTTCTCCCTCGCACAACTTCTTTGTGGAATCAATTACCACCAGCGAATTTTCCGAACCGATACGACTACGAGGAACCTTCAAGAAAAGAGCTTACACCTTTCTAAAAGGCCGGCAACGCATCTGCAATTCCCCTGGTGTTGCGGTTGTTCATGGGCGGCGGTAGTCACTTACCAGCAGGTGAGCCGCATGCTTGTTTGCCCCCTATTCTATTAAAAAAAAAACATTGGTATAACATTAAATTATATTTAATATGTGTAAATATCAATGAATCATAAAGATTACACTGCATAAAATAAAGTCACTCTCAATTTCAAAGAAAACACAGAAAAACACGTAGTTACCCACAAGTTAATAAAAACAAGTATCCTTCCATTTGCAACTTATGTTTGATGTCAACTAAACTTAATTAGGCCTAAATAAGTGAAAAAAGCATTAAAAAGAAAATTATTTTTACACATGGCGCTCGACACACCTGGCGTGTCCTGAAATATTTGTTCGCTGCCACAGCTAAAAGTTGTCGAAAATCGGTGCCGCAACGAATCGGTTAATGTGTTAAATTATTTTTCATCAATCTATCTTTCTATTTACCTAAACCCTCAACGGGTTCATTGAATATAATAAAGAATAGAGAGAGGGAATCACTATATGCTCTGACCGCAGAGTATAATCACTACGTTGGTGAAAGCGCCAGGGTGGCCCGCGAAATTTAAATTTTCTTACGTTTTATTGAATTTGCAAGTTAGGGTCAGGTTATATGTTTAACAAAATATGATTCGCGACCGTAACGAGTATATGTTTACAGAATTATTATCATTAAAATCACCAATAACTACCTCAGTTCACATGAACCCTTTGAATGAGTTTTTCTGGAAATATCCATACAGTGGAATTATACGAGAAGAAGAAATATACGAAAATAGACCTTTGCATTTTACTAAATGTATTTATCTAAACCGCAGCGTGTGAGTTAGCTACTGTACTAATGACTACTAAAAGAAATAAATAATGGTCGGATTGACGACGTCGATGCATAACGTAGCTGAGCAGGCAGCATCACTCGGTGAGAGAAAAAAAACGAAATAGCATGAATGATATCTGTATCTCGCCAACACAATACGCGTAAAATTTAAAACTTTGATGTTAACTAAATAGTGAAGTAGTCAGAGTTTGGTGAGAATTTATGAAATGTCAAAGCTAAAATATTTAAATGTAGTAACAGCTTACAGATGTATTCATTTTGCTGTCATAATTATCGGAACGTAAGAAATTGGTACATTTAGCGTCCCAATCACGGGTGAATTGGGACGTGTCACCAAACACCTGAAAATCGGGACGTCCCGCGCAAATCGAGACAACTGGCAACACTAATGCGTCTAGCGTTTTGTATGAAGAATCTCTAGGCCGTTTTGTAATTTCCAGTTTAATTTATATCGCTTTTACTCTCGGCTATTGAGTTTATTGTTGTTTTGTAAAGTTAGTTTTTGTTATTTGTTAAGTTTGTATATTTAAAATGCCAAAACTAACAAAATCATTGTTAGGCGAATCCAGGGGGGGGGGGGTAGCCATTGTCCTTCGAGATTACTTTAGGGCGGCTACTCACTTGCCTGCCGCTGGGGCAATCTAGGGTGTACAGCGATCGGGGCAATATCAGATTTGTCTCTATACACATGCCTGCCGTTCAGTATGAGAACGTACGACTCGCTGGACGCGCACTTTGCGAATGGCATACTTTATTGGTATCCATTGTGACTTGTACTCACACGTGTGCTCCGTGCGAAAGTCGCCAAAGAACTGATAGTAAAAGCCCCAATTGCGCTACACACGCGGCAGCGGCAACCATGATTAGGGGAGTAAGGGAGGTCTTGCGCCCTTGTCACCCTACCGCAGGGCCGCCTTAGGATATTGCCCCTGCTTGCATACACACATCACAACTAAAGAGACTATTAAGGGTCATCCCCACTTCTACACCCTAGATTGCCCCTGGGGCAGACAAGGGCCTTTAACCGTTTATGTGTCAAACGTGTTTGTAAAATTTTCTCCGGAAAATTTTAATTATATCGGTGTTATTTTCGTTTCAATCTATATTTACTTTTCCATATTTTTAGCAAATTACTGAATAGTCCATAAATTCATGTCTCTTTCGAAACGCCGAGCCGTCGAGCCGTGTGTACGTTTGGAACGCGTGCTTGTACCGTCGATTGTGTGACATCTACCTACGTTCTGGATTATTATAATTATGGAATGCCAAAAATGTAAGAAAGTTCTAGCCAAAAAGGGATCGCATTTCCTATGCCAAGGACCATGCCAGGGAACTTTTCATAGGGGCTGTGTGAAAGGATTAGCGGTGGATATAAAAAATGGGAAAAATAGAATCTATTGCAATAATTGTGAGGATGAAGAATCGGAAGATGAGTTGCAGGATTATGCTAAAATACTCAAGGACCTACAGAAAAAAGTCAGTGCAATATCCGAATTCAAAAAATATCTGGACTCGATAAACCAAAGCCTAAGCCTTATCTCTGATAAATACGACTCACTGATTAAAGAGCATAATCAGTCAAAAGATAAAATTCAGAAGCTTGCGAAAACCGTTACCATATTAACAATAAATGTGTCTATTTGGAGAAACAGAACACAGCTTTCGAACAAAAAATTCATGAGTTCGAACAGGCATCTCGTAAACATAATCTCGAAATAGCAGGCATTGAACAGTTACCAGACGAGAACATTAACGAAATTGTCAACAAAATATGTAACATAATCAACGTTAATAGCTCGGACATTGAACGGGTGAAACGTATACGAACAACAAACCAGCGCCTATCATCGTGGGCTTCAAGTCCTCGGGGACTAGATCGTAGGACAGCTGGCTTGCTGAACGTCTTAAGCTATCGGAAACTACAAGTAATATGATAACAAGTGGATCAGCGACTTACAAAATATATATAAACGAGGATTTGACCAAAACTATGCGTGCCCTATTATGGAACACAAAGAAACAACTGAAGGGATTTTGCAAATACATATGGGTTTCAAATGGAAAGATCCTAGTCAAGAAAGCTTAAGGAGAAAAATCGGTTTGTGTGCGGGCAGAAAGTGATATTCACGACCTAATTAATAATAAGTGACTTTAAGTGGGTATGTTGATGGTTGTCAAGTATATCTTACGGTGTAAAATTCGATAACTTAAATAATTTAGACTCAATAATTAATGCGTATATTAATTATACGTGTGTCGATAGTTTAAATCCGTGGTTACAACAAATAAGCAACTTTAAAGATCTATGTATTTTACATGTTACCATTCGCTTTTTTTAAAAAACACTTTAGTGAATTTTTAGTGTCGCTAGGAAATTATTTGAATCGACTAGATGTCATTATGATAACCGAACCAAACATTAACTTCTCATTACTTTCCTTTTACAAAATTCCAGGTTTTATTGTTAATGTTAATGTTTACACCCGTAAAGTGCGCTCCGGTGGCTGGTGTACTCGCGAGCCGAGCTCTGTGTACGTGCCGCCAATACTATGCGCTCGGCGGAGTGCGTTTCCATTACGCTTAATATTCGTGGTGAACAAATTTATTTAATTTCCATTTATAGGCCACCCAGATTTTTTAAACAGGATAGATTACAAGAATTTTATTTAGAATTGCGTAATTTTTTAGATAATCTGCCGCGGGGTCCTAAAGCTATTTTTTGCGGAGATGTAAATATTG